TTATATATTATGATGGGGAAAATAGATCTATGTACATGTATTTATAGGTTTATTATTAAGGCAGCAGATGGACATTGGGTCTCCACTCAAGTACTTCCTTAATGCAAGAATACTTTGTTCTATTAAATTGGCGTTCCATGATGCACACCTTCCCCACACAATAGCTGAAGACAAAGCAGGTACATAAGAAAATGTGGTTAAGAAAACTGATGGTGCCTGGCTATCAAAAGATATAGCATCTGGGGTAACAAAGGCTTGAAGGTAAACAAGCGGTCATCTAGCTGAGAAGCAACAAAGCCCACATAAGAAGCACGCCAGTCTGTGTGACCACAAGGTGTAGAAGGGACAAGGTATCAGACATCAAAGAACAAAAAAATCATATCATTGTAAATGAGAGGGAAAGCAGATTGGGGACCCAAAGCCCATCGGTAGGCAATTGGACAGCCCCTTACAGAAGGGCTGTGGAGGGGAGACAAGCCAGTCAGGGTGCAGTGTAGAAACGATGAAACATACAACTTTCCTCCTGTTCCTAAAAGCTTCCTCCCCCCCACCCCAGCTATAATGATCCCAATTCTACCTTACAAATCTGGCTAGACCAGAGGATGTACACTGGTACAGATAGGACCCTGAAACATAGGGAATCCAGGACAGATGACCCATTCGGGGCCAGTGTTGAGAGTGGCAATATTGGAGGGTGGAGGAAGGTGGTGTAGAAAGGGGAACTTATTATAAGGATCTACATATAACCTCCTCCCTGGGGGACAGACAACAGGGAAGTGGGTGAAGGGAGGAGATATCAGACAGTGTAAGATATGACAAAATGATAATAATTTATAAATTCTCAAGGGTTCATGAGGGAGTGGGGAGCGGGGAGGAATTGGGGAAATGAGGAGCTGATAGTAAGGGCTTAAGTAGAAAGCAAATGTTTTGAGAATGGTGAGGGCGACAAATGTACAGATGTGCTTGACACACAATGGATGTGTGTATGGATTGTGATAAGAGTTGTATCAGCCCCCAATAAAATGATTTAAAACAAAACAAAAAACTACCATCCTTAATCAAAACTAGACACATTTTTCTTATAATTGTAAAACAACTTAAGAGTCAGAAAGACTGAGAGGATGAATTGTTACTGTGGTTTCTAAACAGGAAATCACATTTACCATGAAGTAGGCGCTGTTCTTGTAACTGCAGAGATCTGAACTCCACCCATTTTTTCTTCAAAGTTTGCTGTGAAAAAGAAAAAAAAAAAAAGAAAAGGGTGCTAATTATTAGGAAATGCCTGTGAAGGTAGCAGTTTACTTCTAGATGCTTATATCTGTCATTGAAGTTTCTGTTTTTTCTGGCAGCATCTTGTTCTCTCTATAATAATGATGGTAAACCCAGGTGGACTACCTCAACCACCACTCATTAGCAGTGGGAACCTGTGGTCATGTGGAGGTCAGACTAAGGGACTCAGCCTACTGCCAGGTGTCCTTTCCAACTCTTAGTGACACTACGGGGGTTCCTAGGCTGTAAATATGTACAGGAGCAAGAGTCTCACCCTCCTCTCACAGACCCTCTATTTGGTGAGTTTGAATAGTTGACCTTGAGGCTGGCCATCTAACACTTATTTGACAGCATTACCAGAGCTCCTTATAGGACTAACAAGGGACTGCTGTTTATACCAACCAATTCTGCTTCCTCAATGAGATTTGTCTCCTAGAAAAAAGAGTCCTGCGGGGGAAGCAGAAAGCAAGATTGACATTCAAATCTATCTATAAAAAGAAGGGGAAACGCATTTTGGCACTTATCCAGAAATCCAATCAAGCCTTGCCAAATAGTTGAGGGTTTTGTTTGTTTGCTTGCTTGCATGTGTGTATGAAAATAAAAACAAGTTTTAGAATATATCATTTACTGATTTGGCCCATTTACATCTATATATGCCATCAATGAGACCACGACAACAGGGGTGCAAAGATCAGATATGTCAACGTGTTGGGAATCTGTAACTATACACTTCCCTATTTCCCCTAGAGGCCATTTCTGGTAATATTATTGACACAGCTGTGTATTTGGGTCAAATCTACACTCTCAGCATTTGAGGAGACATCTGTGGTATCTAACCATACTGGGCCACCTTACCACACGGGGTCTAGTAAATAGTAGCTGCTCAGTACTGGTTGCATCAAAGAATGGTGCCCGGAAACAACACTCAGGTATCTACAGCCCCAGGGATTTTCAATCCACATGAGATACACAGCTAAGCTTTCTAATGTGCATCCAAAGGACATTCAGGGTAGCAAATAGTTCCCCAAAGCTACGAACCTAGTAAATAGCAGAACTAGTTTAACAGCCAGTTCTCCTAGCTACTGCATTGATTGCTATTTTCATGTTAAACATTTGAATCATAGGTCAAGATACAGGGACTTCCTGGCTCAGAAGAAACCACTGTTTCTGAAGAAGAGCTGTTGGTCCAGAAAAATTCCTTAAGATGCAAATTATACACTTATTTAGCACATGCAAAGTAAATGTCATCATGTCAAGGGGAAGTCAACCGGAGCCTGATTTTATGTCAGACTTAGACATTTCTGGCTCAAGAGCTAGACTAGATCAATTGATAGGATACTGTTTTTATAACTGCAACTATATCTCCTAATTTCATAAGTCTTAATAGCTTGAGAGACACCACGGAGAAGACAAGTGGCCCCTATTCTCTGGAATCAAGAGAAGGAAATGGACTACAAGGCTAATTGTGTCCCTGAACTGCTGCCTTCTCTGCCATGAGACCAGAAGATTGGGGTGGTGCACGGCTAGACATTGCACACTGTGACCAGTCACAGTGGTAATAGAAGGATCCTAATCAAAAGAGAGAGAGAGAAAATGGAACAGATTTTCAAATTTCCAAAGACTTTCTGGACCCACTGCGACTAGAGAAGCCCATGAAATGATTACCCAGAGATATTTTGAAGACCTTTAGCCAAAATGACCCTTTGAAATCATTTTAGACTAATCAACAGTTTATCTGAATTAGTAAGGAATGTGTGTCTTGATTATTGAGTTCTTTTAAAAGATTATCTATGAGACACAATGACCACAGTAAATCCACTAAATGAGAACCCGAGCAAGGCAGTGAGTCTAATTCCAAGGTGGTGAAACTGTGCGTATACACACTAAGACTTGACACAAAGTGAAGCACGCACTCGACTGAACTGTAGAAGTTGTTGAATGGGTACATATCTTTCTTTGTGTATTTCCATCAAAAGTAAAGTGGAGACAAAACTGGAAATGTCATAATTAAAAGCTCAGAAATGAGAAATGAAAAAAAAAATAAGCAAGATTGAACCCAAAGTCATCCTGTATCTAGAGAGGCGTAGTGGGCATAGTGAGGCAGCCTGGACTTTGGATTCAATGGCAATACATGGATTAAATACAACTGAGTAGAGCAAAGCCCTGGGGATACAATGGTTCCTCTCTGGCCTGCTAATCATAAGGTCAGCAACTTGAAACCATAATGGGCTTCAAGAGAATAAAAAGGAGGCTTTCTACTCTGTAGGGAGTTACCATTTCAACAGCTGATGCAATGGTTTATCAGGGACCAGGGGTGTGAGTTGGGAGGGTAAAGGGAATGGGGGAGTAAACAATGAATGCATTGAACTGATTGTGAAAATGAATGTACAATTAAAAAAAATTAACTTTGGAAGTGTATGATATGTGAATATTATGTCAAGAAACTGACTTAAAAAAAGAACCCAAACTTGACCAATGGTTACCATACATGAAGGAAGGGGAATCTTTGCTTCGGAGGCCTTGAGTTTATATTAATGGTCCTGGAATAACTTGGAAAAGGATATCACTAATGGTTGTATAATACAAAGTATAATCACGGGCACTGACTTGTACATGTGGAGTATGTTGGGCAGTTCCACCCTGCCCTATAGGGTGCTACGAGTTGGGATCAACTCCTGCCACTTAGTTTGGTTTTAGAGTTTGTCCGAGTAGAGGATATAGGCAGATATATATTCTGCTTGAAAAGGAGAAATGGCAGTAGGAGGAGACCTAGAAAATCTTCTATGATGGTTAGGGCTCATGGAGAAGTTGTCTTTGGTGTGGTGGAAGTACACAGACCCAGAACCTGGATCAAGCAGCATTTTGGCTCCATGATACACAGATCTGTTGTCCATTCTCACTGGTTGGGAACCTTGAAGAGCTGAGGGTGGCAGCTATTCAACCACTAATTGTGCTTCATACAGAGGTAAATGCTCAAACCAAACTTTAAGCCACCCACAGAAATTTAATACAAAATTAAGTTGGAAATCAGTACATAAATTGTCTCCAAACAAAATGAAAACAGAAATGAAGACTTTAAAATAAGGATGATTATATCCTTCAGAGATATGAGCGGATTAAAAAAATATATAACGAGGGAGAAATAGATCTATGTACATATATTTATAGGTTTAGTATTAAGGAAACAGATGAATAGTGGAATAGTGGGCCCCTGCTCAAATACTCCCTCAACACAAGAACACTTTGTACTAACAATTTGGCAGTCTGAGATGCTCACTTTCCTGGCACGATTGTTGAAGACAATGGGTATACAAGCAAATGTGTTGAAGAAAACTGACGGTGCCTGGCTACCAAAAGGTATAGCATCTGAAGTCTTAAAGGTCTGAAGATAAACAAGTGGCCATCTAGCTGAGAAACAAAG